CCTTGCATGTGTACGTTCTCACTTGATGGTCGAGGGCCTTACATGCAACACGTCTCCTGTCTATCTATCTATCTATCTATCTAGGTTGTCTGTCTGTTGTAGCTAGTAAGCTGTCAGTCGTCTATCTGTACATACATCCATATACATATATATATATATATACATTTATACATGCATACATACATATGCACGTACATACACTCATACATATACATATGCATATACATATGCATATATATATATATACACCTTCATACATTCATACGTTCATACATACATGCATGCCTACATACATCCGTACATACATACATCAGTGCTTATGTACACACGTACCCATACGTACATACATACACACATGCATACACTAATTGGTTCACAATGAACGTCGTGTAGCTTCGTGCCTGCTAGCCGTGCACTAGCGTTGATTATTGTTCAGTGGCAGGACGTCGACAGTGAAAGCCGACATTAATGAGGTCTCTGCTCGACGTAGTGTTGTCCTGAGAACTCAGATGTAGTGTGAGGTATATAGGAATGTACCTGTGCAATTTGTTTTTCATACCTGCACTTTTAATGTTATCTGCGTCTATCTCTACACCTATACATCTAACTCTCCAGCTGTCTGCCTATCGTTCTATCTGTCTGCGTATACCTCTATATATACATATATATATACATATATATATATATGTACATACTAACCCATACCAGCACCCTCAGCTCAAGACCTTGTCTCGCACATCCCAAAATCTACACGTCGTAAGCTTCCTTTTGAGGCTCCTTGACTTCGGAGGAGGAGCCCCAGATCGCCGGGGCTCCGGGCAATGTGCACCTCGGATCTGAAAGCGAGGCCGCACGATTCGATTTCCAAGCGGCTTCCTAGAGGACGTATTGCCCTGCTATAGCAGTTTTGTGTATAGCCGCACAAACATGGTCGTGTGATGTCGTATGTTTGTAGAAATGTCAAAGATGCCAATGCATGTGTGTGTGTGTGTGTGTGTGTTTGCGTGTGTGCGCGTATGTTTGCCTGCGTCTTTGTCTCAAGCATCCACCAAGCCTTGTACATGCCACACAAAAACACAGAGTACGCATGGATGGATGGATGGATGGATGTATGCATGGATGTATGCATGGATGTATGCATGGATGTATGCATGGATGTATGCATGGATGTATGTATGTGTGTACCTATGCTTATATGTATGTATGTAGGTACAAATAGATACAAATATGTATATGTACATAAAATAGGTGTACATATGTGTTTATATTTATATGTACGTATGCGACAACTTGTGCATACTTGCCTACGTATGTACACGTGCCTCCCACAAAGACTTACCGCCCGGTCAATGCTTCCTAAGCTACCCCCCCCCCCCCCCCAAACTTCCGTGACACCGCAACGGATGCCTTAGTGTCCAGTTAATTATGGTTAGTCATGCTATACTGTAGTATACTCGAGAAAGGAAATGTATCAGAGCAAGTCCCAGGGTTGCTCCAGCTAGGCCCCGAGTCGGCTCACGGCGGAATAGCAGCGAGAAGGTGCCTCGAAACGAGTTTTCGGTGTTCCTCGAAATTAGGGCTATGAAGCCCCTGTTTAGGGTCGTAGGGTTTTAAAGGGGCTTTCGAAGCTAGGGTTCCCCCTACGAGGTTTCAGCCGAGGTTTACAACGGTCAGGGCTCCAGGGGATATTTCATTATTGTAGAGCTTAGAGGTTTAGGGTCTAGGGTGAGGGGCTTGAGTCAGATCCTTGCATCGCAGCGATGCAAGGATCTGGCTAGCCCCAAGCCCAGTGGAAAAGAAAGGGGCTTGAGTCAGCTTGAGACTGATGGCTTGAAGGGTGCATAAACTTGTTTTGAGACGTCAGCCGCTTGAGGAGCACAGTGTTACATGTTCTCTTGAGAGATTCACTTAATCATTTATCGGGCGTAAACCGGGCGAAGAAAGGAGTGCTGTGGCAAAAAGGCCTTACCGGTTGAGGGCTTTGATTGTGATGTTCGGCTCTAGTGGTTTAGGTTAATCCAGCAGTAGAGTAGGTAACCTTAACCTTTTTGGGTACCATATTCCCTGAATACTCTCAATATGCTCCCAGAGGTCAACCTTTAGTTCCCCAGGATACTGGACAAGTAGCTTACCCTGAGGCTCAAAATAGCCCAAAAGCCTGATATAGTATGGTCTTTGGGTCCAAAAGCCTGAAAATATGAGTCCTTAGAGCCTAAGGGTTAAGGTACTTCCAGGGATCTACCAGCTTCAAGGTTTGCTGTTATAGGGCTTGTCAAGGCAGTGGGGGTGGGGTTGTGGACTTTATGGCATTCGTGGCCAATCTTGAGTCGAGGCTGTGTGGTTTCAGCATCGCTAACTCAAAGAGTTTGGGCATTCAGGTTGCCACCTGCGGCGTTCCGGATCAACTGCAGTGAGAACTTGGGTCCTTACGTCGAGGGCTGATATGTAAGTGTCGATGGTGACTGCATGATTGCATGATGGTCTTCGTCGTCGTCATCGAATCAAGTGTCAGGCATGTTCACTTGCTACTAGTAAGTAGTGGTTCTACCTTCTGCCAAGATCGGCCTCGGAGATAAAGCGTAATTCGGCAAGGCGTCCGTGCAGCACAAGTTTCCAGCACTGTTTCGCTGCTCAATCTCCAGCATAGCCTCCTGAGCCTGCTGCCCAGAGACTCCAATGTCCGTAAACCAAGGAATATACCTTAAATCATATTAGGGATCCTACTATAATTTTGGGCATATATTCCCTAATTAAGATCCTACAATAATTTAGGGCATATTCCCCATCATATTAGGGATCCTACTATGCTTTAGGGCATATATTCCCTAATTAAGGGACATTGGAGTCTCCGGGCAAAGAGGTCGTGCCGATCATTCCGCTGGATGACTTCTTACAGGCCAGGTCCTCGAGCCTAGAGACTGGCTAGAGTCTGCTTTGGTGCCTTTAAAGGGATACTATAAGGGCAATATAAGGGATCCTTTAACAGGCTACTATAAGGGTTTAGGGTTTCCGAAAATTAGGGGTACCTTATGTTGGGGGTTCCTTATAATGAGGATCCTACTATTTAGGGTACTATATGAGGGTCGCCTATTTTCGGAAAATGCCATATAGTTTTTGCAGGATCATCTTGTAAGCCCATAAGCCAATCGGGCCCTCGCCCATGGCCTACAGTAGCCCTTGCCGGAGCTAAAGGCTTCCCGGCTTCCCGCCCAGTTCGATGCGGTTTGCTTCGTTTTGGTCCGACATGCCAACACTGAGACGCGGGATCTTAGTTCAAAGAGAAGATGTATAGACGGACGATTAGTGTAACATACCCAGGATGCATTTCCGATGTCTGCATTGCCTTGTTTAATCGTGGCGTCAAGATACGGGGCCTCCCAACCACACGGTTTCTGGAGCCACACATCCGACACCGAACTCCGGACCTCATTGAGCTGATCAGGTCGTATCTAAACCGGAACATGAGACTCAATTCCTTTCCATGGTCAGGGGGCCGCCTCTCCACGGCAAGCTACCGCAGAGGACGGGTACATGTAGATTGCTCTGTCTTCCCGAGCCCCATGTTAACAAGGAATAGACCTGATCCTATTACCTGGAACAGATCGACGCACAATGAAAACACCCGGATGCAGTCGTCGTCGACATCGTGGTGGCAGTAGTGCGGGTAGTGGAGCGGGTCGTTGTGGCGTCGTCGTAGTATTGGTAGTAGCGGCGTAGTAGTTGTAGTAGTACTCGTCGTCGTAGCAGTCGTCGTCGTATGATTAGCATTTTTGTAAAATATTATTAGTAGCAGCGGTGGTGGTGGTGGTGGTGGTGGTGGTGGTGGTGGTGGTGGTGGGTGTGGTGGTAGCAGTAGCAGTCGTCGCAGTGGTCGTAGTCGTAGTAGCAGCAGCTGCTGCCAGAAGCAAATTCTTGCCTTGACCAAACACACCTGTGCATCTCACTGCCAAGCAGCGACTGACTGGGGTTGCTAATGGAAGAGAATTTGTGCTTGTTCCTGTCGCTGCAGCAGTAGCAGCGGGAATGACAGAACAGCAGCCATGAAAGCATGAGTTCCAGCAAGTCAGAAAATATCGCAAGTGGCGACAATCTCGACCAGCGTCATTCTTCGCACGAGGAGAAACCGGTACTATGCGCTGGGTAGCCCTGACAGCCTGCATCATACCAATATTTTCCGTCCTCCCACGACGAAGGCGACTTTGGGTTTTAGCTGGACCGTACTTCCTGCCAGGCTGTGGAAGTCCCGACTGGCCTTGCAGATCGTGTAGCATGGTTGGAGCTTCTTGGCCGAAGAAACTGTCTTCCGTTTTGCTCTACCGGTCTTGCATGGTTAAGGCCGTAATGCTCTTCGGGATTACCTCGGCGTTTAGAGCCAATACATGATCATCAATCTGTATCCATTGCAACCCGTCGTTCGAGTATTGCAGCCGGCAGAGACCTCCACAAATGCATTTTCCTCTCAAAAGGCTCAGAAACGAGATTCCAACCATTCCGGTTCATTGGCTCTGCTTATGCTAAACTCATACTCCTTCATGCTCCCTGTCCCTGCGGCCTGCAATGGGACGACTTGACGCGGAGTGGCCAGCCAGTCGATACTACTAAGTCGGACGGATCTGTGTATTCAGGCAAATCGAGAGCTCGTATCACAGACTCGCATTGCCTCGCTTACGGTTTAGGGATTTGCATTTTATTGACCCTCTCCCAAGTATCGTTCTTGGAGGACGCTCTCTTAATTTCGTGGGTCATGGTTGCGGTCAGTTCTCAGCCTGCAACTGCGGCTCAAGATCTGTGTGCAGGTATTTTCAGTTGTTTCCCGGTTTACATCGTGCCACCAACTAACTGCAGGGTGTGAGTCTTGAAGCTGCCTTTTTCGTATTCTTGACTCAACACAAGGATAGGGCTTGCAGGCGTAGATCTGACATCCTTTTCTTCCAACTTGAATTCCTTAGCCCCTGCCGTTGTACGCATCGTACTTTGCTCATCACGCTGCAGTTTGCGCCATGTCGAGCAATCCATCGGTTCTGCATGAGCAATTCAACGACCAGGTGCTCAGCCCGACACTTCCTGTTCCCGTCCGTTCACTCTGTTGTTAAGATTCTTGTGGCCTGCGGGGTCGTTGAGGTGAGGGGGTTAGGCTTGAACCAGTTGCAAGCCGGCAGCAAAAGTTCAGTTCAGTTTTGGCTTGGTGCCTCGAGTATGATGATCTAGGTCGGAGAGTCTTGGTTCCGGAGCCTCAACAGAAGACTTCAAAATTCCGTTCTGTTTTGCCAACTCAGCCGTCGATGCTTTACTGCTGGCCAGGCGGCTGATAAATAAATTGGCATAGAACCAGCGGCAAACGACAAACTACTACTACTACTACTACTACTACTACTACTACTACTACTACTACTACTACTACTACTACTGCTACTGCTACTGCTACTGCTACTGCTACTGCTACTACTACTACTACTACCACTCCTCCTGCTGCTGCTGCTGCTGCTGCTACTACTACTACTACTACTACTACTACTGCCACCTCCGCCACTGCTGCCTCTACGGCTGCTGCTGCTGAGGCTGCTTCTACTGCTGCTACTGGCTACTACGACGACTACTGCTACTACTAATGTTATTATCAATAACAGCAGCAGTCATAATAGTAGAAATTAGGATAACTCATAATGCTGCAGCTGCTGCTGCGGCTGCTGCTACTGCCGCTGCTTCGATACTGCTACTGCCACCGTTAATACTGGGGCTAAGTACTTCCAGTGCTACTGTTGTGAGGGTCAATATGAAATCAGAGGTAAATCCTTTTGGCGGCATCCATCTAGTGATGTTTGCACCCGTGCATCAGACGGTTGAACCCACCGCAGATTCAGATGCCACCGCATGCAAACGGAGCCGGCACGATCGCCGCAACAAGACTACCATTATCTGTGGTAATACGGGAGTGTAGCAGCTTCTAGCCTGCTTCCTGCGAACGTTGTAGGTCTTGCCTTTGTCATCGAAGCCCGATAAGTACCGGGTGACCTCCTGCGTCATGTCCGTCTGGAATGAGCCGCGTACTGTGACAGACGCCAGCTTTAACAGTCCTAAACGTTTCAAACCGTAAGCACAGGTTCAGGGCTTGAGACATGCAGCACAAGATTCCTTTTCAAGCTTTGGAGCTCAAGAGCTTTAGGGATCCGATTGTAGGGATTGAAGACAGTGACACGTCACAAAAGTCCGAGTCTCTGGTTTGCCAGGTGTTTAGCTGGCTGTACAACGGCGAGGATATCTCCGTGAGGCAACGCTTCTTGGCAGATAAAATGTAAATCTCCAGAACCCGTGAACATCTATGAACGTCAGGTTGGTTGATGTGGGTCCTGATGATGGCAACCGCTGGTTAAAACAGGGTATATCCCCTCTGTAGTCCCCATGACAGTAAAGTCGTATTTATCGCTCTCTCTTTATCTCTATCGCTATCTCTATCTATATCTCTCTCTCTCGGAAGAATGGATAACAGTAATAAGAATGCGAATACCGATGATGCTAGTAGTTATCCTTTTATCCTACCCTCAAGGGCCGATCCTGCCTCGCCTCGATTGTTTGGGTCCTTCTCCTGTGACATCGAGCCAAAGGTTCGGGGCTTCGGCGCTTTCAGTTCTTTCTCCGAGAAATTACCCAGGTCTTGGGCCTCAAACGGTAGGAGGAACCTAGGTGTGGTAATTCCGGTGAAGGGTCCTGCTATAAGGGATCCTTAATCCTACCTACCTTCATCCCACTTTTTGAGGCCTCCAATCAGGAGCCCCCTGTCCCGGAAACTTGTCATACTTAGAGCAACCGATTTAGCTTAGAAAAAGGATATGACCCGCAAAATGGGTACATTTCCCTCGTTGAAGGTACCTTGGTTACTCTGGGTATCTCCATAGCAGAACAGGAAGACACCCTCTTCAGGCTACCCTATCAGGTCACTCAGTCTTCGGGGTCCTCCGACTTGGCTTGGGAAAGGCCCAGTTTTCGGTTGGAAAAGTTGGGTTTAGGATTTCAGTACTGTTGATGGACAAAATCCTGCATTACCCATTATAAGGAATATGCCATAGTTCCCATAGTTTAGAGTCCTTAGGGTCATGCAGGATTTTGTCCATCAGCAGTATCAATATTCAAAATCATAGCAATACTTTGCTTGTGTGACCGAGAAGCACGGCCTGCTGCGCATCGGTTGTTCCGAGCTTGCCTTAGGGTTTAGGGTTTCAAACGAGAAGGCCCTGCTGTTGAGGAGTGTTCGCTGGCACACAATCCAAGCCCATGCTGAAAAGGGTTTAGGGTTTAGTTTAGGGTTAGCCCGGCACATGTTTAACCTCGGCTGGATGTATGCAGGTGCACGGCTCCATGCACCTAGGTTTGGGAATTCGTTCTGTTGAACCAGTGAGTGTCTCGGGCGCTGGCTGAGCCAACATTGTATCAGCCCGCCAAACCATCAGACTCCTATCCATGTTGACCGATACCCCACCCTTAAGTACTTAAAGCTCAGGAAGCCTCCTTTTCGACTGGCAGCAGCGCAATGACACGTGGGGAACACCGCTCCTGGCAATTCTCTCAGGCTGGGTGGGGTCACGAAAGCCTTGAGGGAAGGCGGTGGTGGAACGGAAGACAGGATTGTATAATTTAGTTGTGGGGAGCATGTAAGGAGTTTTGCAAGGTAGTCGCGAGGTACCTCGAGCATTTCATCGTTCTGGGGAAGCTCAGCCTGTACCGAGGGTTCTCGGTTCGTTGTTGAGCCATGTTGAGCCAAGCGAAGTGCTTGTGGTTGACTGCTGAGGGTGCGTTTTTTAAGGCATGATGCGAAAGGTTCAAATATCTGCAAACAGCTCCAGCAGACCGAAATGCCCGCGAAGCATGTTGTGCCCGATGATTCGTATGGAAGGGTATGGTATTGACCGTCTTGCCTGCCTGGATGTCTGTTTGTCTGTTTGTGGTCGTGTGTGCGAGAGCCAAAACAAATCCAAAAAACCTAAACAAAAGCCTTCTGCGAGGCTCTGTACCCCGTTACCCTGAAGACCCCTCAACCCAAAGCGACGCGTGCACCAGTAGTTCACAAAGCCGTAAACACCCACCCCGTTTACCCAGTAGCTTTGCTGCTGCAGGCAATCTCTGGGAGGCCCCTGAATGGATGTTTCACCGACCCTTGGCCGTTCTGGAACTAGGCTTGAGGATTTCTGGCTTCTGTTTGGTGGTCGTCTCCTGAATAGGCACTCAACCTTGACGAAGCAGTGGATGCCAGCAAATCTCCTTGCGATGTCGTATCGAGATAGACAGATAGATAGATAGGCAGATAGACAGGTAGATAGATATACATACACTGCCGATATTGCAACTTGAAGCCGACATGGGAACGTGTTCGACAGTAGCCGGGCTTCATACAGCCGCCGCACGCTGCAGCAACAACTCAATAGTCAATAGGCAATGTCGATCAGGCCCTTCGTTGTCCGACTGACGGTTCAGGGTTTAGGTCGTAGACTGGCTAGACGTGAGTCCAGTAGCAAAAACGGGCGTCTAGGGTTCCGTTTACGGTTTCGGGGCTATGGGGTATCTAGGGCTTCGGGACCACTGGCCAGCTGCCGAAGCATGCCGAACGTTCCAGCCACGATTGTCGCCGTTGTTTGTATTTGCACGGCAGGTGTAGACACCTTTGTCGAGTATTGCCAGTTTCTTCATATTGAGCTTCCTGCACACTTCACAAGATCGTGAAGGCCTTGGAATGCCAACAGCACAGGCCATTCTAAAGGAGACCTCCAAACCTCAGACAATTTGAAGCCTGGTCTGTTGCGATCCATGGCCAAGCCTTTTCCCGCCCCTGCCTCATCAGTGCATGCTTCATGTTACAGGATTCCTCGATCTAAGTATACACTGACTATGACATACCCAAGACCCTACTCGAATGATTCACGCCTCCCCCCCGCCCAAAAAAAAAAAAACTACCTGCTCAACGCCCAACTTTATTGTGAACACGCGAAGGGAAAGTGGCCCTCGCCCGATGGGCCATTGGCCTAGGGGCACGACCCGAGCATCATGCGCCACTTGTGTGCCTGGGTTGCTGCCAGGATTGAGAGGGCTGACGGTTCTTGTTTTTCAGGTTTTTGTCAATCGAAGTTTTCTGATTTAAATATCGACTGCAAGACGTCGTTGCGTCAATCGTTGAAGACTTTGGTTAGAGTTATTCTTGAGTTCAGGTCCTGTGAGTTGTCTACTGCTACATGTTGTAACCTAAGACTGACGCTACCTGTGGACTGAAGGCTTTCGGCTGAAAGCCTGGGGTCTAGTAGAGTCTACCAAGAGACTCCACTATCCCTCAAGTAAGGAAGGAATTTTGATTGATTTATAGTTTATAGTAGAATCCCTCATATAGATTAACGTATCTTCCTTCATTAAGGGAAATATTGAAGTCTCTGGCTAGTAGGATCGCGGTTGGGGAGTCTTGTGGCTGAGGTCAACAACTGTTCCTTCGTGATTTGGAGTTTTGCCGTGCAGATCGGGATTCCTGAACATGGGGGCCTTAAGGAATAACCCGTTTTGGGGTTCCCTATTATAACTACAGTATGATATTCCCCCAAACCTTATTCCAGTTGACGGTGTCGTCATGCGGGCTACACCTAGTCCTTGGGCAGTCTCCCAAGCCATATTCCTTAAGAAGAGTTTAGGGTTCTGGGTCTTGCAAGGTTTAGGGTGTAGTGTCCCTATAAAGCCAAAAGCCTGCAGCCCGGACAAATGAACATGGCCTCGCAGTTCGCGAGGTGCGAGTGGTGGATCGAGTTTCCATGGGAGGATGTAGTGCTTTGGCTTGTTTTGGCTGGAAATGAACCCCACAGCTCAAACCCTGGACAGTCCCTGGACCCCTGCGACTCAGGACTGTTTTCAAGACAAAATCGTCCAAACATCCTGCCTCTAAGCTCTACACACCCATGAAGCCTTAACTACTGGCTCGAGGTCAGATACTTCTTCTCAACTCAGCAGTTTTCGGAAGTAAGGACGGACCCTAGCAAGACTCGCTAAGACTAGGACCCTGCATGAGCATGATTTGGAACTGCACTACCTTCTTTAAACTTAGCCTTGCAGCGAACCACTTCCAACGCACTACAGGCACCGTCTTGATCGTCAGGTGCATCGATTCTATAGCGTGCAAGGTTTGATATAACAGGTGCAGCAGCGCGGCAGTAGTGAGCATGTGGAAGCGAACCGCCTCAATCATGTGTTGAGTTTTGATCGTTCCCTTGCTTTAGACAGGGCTTCCAAAGGGGAGAGGCTCAGGTGGTGAAAGTGTAGATACCCCCGGCCTCACGTCCGAAGCCCTGCTGCAAAGGTCTTGGGAGGCAACTCCGCCATCTCTTTGGTCAGCAACGCCCTGTACCTGGGTGCAGAGAGCCTTGGACTCATCTTATACACGTATATACATGTATATACATACATATATATATATATATATATTATATATATGTATATATATATATATATATATATATATAACGTACACACTTACACACCCACACACCCACCCACTCACCCACGCACCCACACTCACAACCGACACCCTACAACCCACAACCCACACCCCACAACCCACCACCCACCACCCGCACCCACACCCGGGCGGGCCGCCCCCGCCCACCCACCACCCACTCACACACCAACCCACACACCCACCCAACACCCATCCCCGCCCCCGCCCCAACCTCGCCCCCACCTCCGCCCACACCCACACCCACATACCCAGCAAACCACCCAACCAACCAACCAACACAGATTCGTCAGAACACGTGTTTCTTCAGTTAACAGTAGCTGGCCTGTACCAATCAGCGCCGTGAGAGTCCATGTCCTCGCGCCACCGGGAATGGTATACTACATAGACTTATATGTATTCTTGCTGTATTCATACTTCAGGTTCTCAGCACAGTGTAGAGTTGTTTTCCGGACAACTCTACTTCAACCCCTGCACGTGGAACGATCCGAGCCTAATTGACCTATGACCGTCCCCATGTATTTGCCCAAAAACCCATCGCCCTAGCCCTGTACTTCCAAGATAAGCGCCATGTGTCGGATCCGACAAACCCTGAAGCCTTAATGGTGGACAGCGTGATCTGCCGGAACTGTTCAGACACATAACGCCCGCTCATAGCATCATGTTGTTATAGTAACTTGTTTTTGTTGTGCTATCTGGCTTTTCTGGATTGCATGTGTTTGGACTACTTGGCAGATTTTCGAAAGATTATAGAAGCCTTTACACGTCCCCTTTTTAGAAGCCTTGTGGAAACCCATGAACCCTTAATCGAAACCTTGAGGATCCCT